AAAATTCAGGCACCTTCCACCTCAGTGAAATTTCTAGGGGTCCAATGGTGTGGGACATGTCAAGATATTCCTACTAAAGTGAATGATAAGTTATTGTATCTGGCTTCCCCCACAACTAAAAAGGAGGCACAATGTCTGCTGGGCCTCTTTGGATTTTGGAGGCAACATATCCCTCATTTGGGTGTGCTGCTGCAGCCTATTTATCAAGTGACTCTGAAGGCTGCTAGTTTTGAGTGGGGCCCAGAACAACAGAAGGCTCTGCAACATGTTCAGGATGCTATGCAGGCTGCTCTGACACTTGGGCCATATGATCCAACTGATCCAATGGTGCTTGAAGTGTCTGTAGAAGATAGAGATGTTTTTTGAGTCTCTGGTAGGGCCCTATTGGTGAATTGCAACACAGACCCTTGGGGTTTTGGAGCAAAGCCCTGTCATCCTCTGCAGATCACTACTCTCCTTTGGAGAAACAGCTTTTAGCTTGTTATTGGGCTTTAGTAGAGACTGAATGCCTAACCATGGGCCACCAAGTCACCATGAGGCCTGAGCTGCCCATCATGAACTGGTGTTGTCTGACCTACAGAGTCATAAAGTTGGACATGCACAGCAGCACTCCATCATTAAATGGAAGTGGTATATCAGATATCAGGCTCGAGCAGGACCTGAAGGCACAAGTAAGTTGCATGAGGAAGTGGCCCAAATGCCTGTGGTCTCCACTTCAGTCATAGTACCTTCCCTCTCCCAGGCTGTATGTATGGCCTCATGGGGAGTTCCTTATGATCAGTTGACTGAGGAAGGGAAAACTTGTGCCTGGTTTACAGATGGTTCTGTGCAATATGTAGGCACCGCTCGAAAGTGGAGAGCAGTGGCACTGCAGCCCCTTTCTGGGACTTCCTTAAAAGACAGTGGTGAAGGGAAATTCTCCCAATGGGCAGAACTTTGAGCCATGCATATGGCTGTTCACTTTGCATGGAATAAGAAATGGCCAGATGTGCAATTATATACAGATTCATGGGCTGTGGCTAATGGCTTATGGTCTGGGACTTAGAAGGAGCATGATTGGAAGACTGGTGATAAGGATGTATGTGGATCGATCTCTCTGGATGGGCCAAAGAAATAAAAGTATTTGTGTCTCATGTGAATGTCCACCAAAGGTGACTTCGGCAGAGGACTTTAACAATCAGGTGGATAGGATGACACACTCAGTGGAAACCAGGCGTCCTTTTTCCCCAGCTACTCCTGTCATTGCTCAATGGGCTCACAAACAAAGTGGTTATGGTGGCAGGGATGGAGGTTATGCATTGGCTCAACAACATGGACTCTCACTTCCCAAGGCTGATTTGGCTACTGCCACTGCTGAGTGCCCAATCTGCCAGCAGCAGAGACCAACACTGAGTCTGCAATATGGAACCATTCCGCGGGTTGATCAGCCAGCAACGTGGTGGCAGGTTGATTACATTGGACCACTTCCACCATGGGAAGGACAGAGTTTTGTTCTTACTGGAATAGATACTTATTCTGGATATGGATTCAACTTCCCTGCATGCAATGCTTCTGCCAAAACTACCATCCGTGAACTTACAGAATGCCTTATCCACTGTCATGGTATCCCACACAGCATTGCTTCAGATCAAGGGACTCACTTCACAGCAAATGAAGTGCGGCAATGGGCCTATGTTCATGGAATTCACTAGTCTTAGAATGTTCTCCATCATCCTGAAGCAGCTGGCTTGATAGAACAATGCAATGGCCTACTAAAAACACAATTAGGGTGCCAGCTAGGTGGCAATACCTTGAAGGGTTGGGGCAATGTTCTCCAGGAGGCTGTATATGCTCTAAACCAGCATCCAATATATGGTTCTATTTCTGCAATAGCCAGGATTCACAGGTCCAGGAACCAAGGGGTGGAAACGGGAATGGTATCACTCACTATTACCCCTAGTGAACCACTCAAAAAATGTTTGATTCCTGTCCCTACTACCCTATGCTCTGTGGATCTGGAGATCTTAGTCCCAAAGGGAGGAACACTCCCCCCTGGAGACACAATACTGATTGCATTGAACTGGAAATTAAGAATGTCACCCGGCCATTTTGGCTTTCTCATGTTTCTGGACCAAAAGACAAAGAAGGGCATTATTGTACTATCTGGTGTGACAGATCCTGATTACCAAGGGGAAATTGGATTGACATTACATAATGGAGGTAAAGAAGAATATGTCTGGAATACAGGAGATTCTTTAGGATGCCTCTTAGTACTATCATGCCTTGTGATTAAAGTCAATGGAAAATTACAGCAACCCAATTTTGATATGACTGCTAATGGCCCAGACCCTTCAGGAATGAAGGTTTGGGTCACCTCACCAGGCAAAGAACCACGACCAGCTGAGGTGCTTGCTGAAGGCAAGGGAAATACAGGATGGGTGGTGGAAGAAGGTAGTTCTGAATATCACTATGACGACGTGACCAGCTGCAGAAACAAAGACTGTGATTGTTACATTTCTTCATTGGATATGTGCATCAGATATTTTTGTTTCCTTCTGTTATGAATTGTGAAATGCAAATAAGGTTAATGCATTTTGGTTGTACGTGTGTTAGTGTATCATGTTAGGTGCAAATATGACTTTATAATTTTCCTTATGTAGAGATTATATATGGTTAAGAAGATGTGTACAACTGCCAAGTTGACAAGGGGTGGACTGTGATAGTTGGAGCTGTGTGTCAACCTGGCTGGACCACAATTCTGTGTGGTTCAAGCAATTTTTGTGTGGTTATTCCCATGATGGGATCAGATGGTTATGTTTTGAGCAGGTAATCTGTTGAAAGGGAGTTTCACTAGGGGTGTGGCCTGCTTCCAGCATATCTGTGGACATCCTGGGCAAAGAGTCATTCCTTTGTGGATCAGGATTCTGTTGTGCTACCTACAACTGTCCATGAGTGAACAATCCACCATTCAGCCTGGAGATCTTGGATTCATCATTCATTGGAGTCAACAGCTGGTGTACTACCTGCCAACCTTGAGCTCCTCAGCCCCTGCAGCTGCAAGTGTCGGGAAAAGCCCCCAGCTTGATGTTTTATCCAAGAACTTTGGACTTGCCAGCTTCTATAAGTGTATGAGACATTTTCCTAAGATAAATTTCTCTTTTTCTCTATATGTAAGCTTTACTGGTTTTGTTTCTCTAGAGAACCCACTCTAACACATTACATAACAGGAACGTTCTCCTATCAAATGGAAGTCATATGGCAAGGAAGACCTCAAGTTATCTGCTACAATCCTGATCAAAACCTTTTTAAAAAAAAAAAACCTTCTTCAAACAGGACTATGCTCAAAACTACTGAGTACGGGTGACCCTTGAAGAACACGGGCTTGAACTGTGCAAGACCACTTATATGAATACTTTTCTTTCAAGATACAGATCTTGAAGGAATTCCAGAGCTAACAGACACCACACCAGAGGAATTAATGAAAGATGACTTGATGAAGATGCGTGCTTCCAAACCAGTGCCAGATGACAAGGAAGAAGACATAGAAGAAGCAATGCCAGAAAACAAACTGACATCAGACAATCTGGCAGAAGGGTTCTGTTTTGGTTACCTAGTGCCGCTCTGACATGAATATACCATAAATGGGATGCTTGAACAACAGGAGTTTATTCTTTCACAGTTTGGAGGCTTTAAGTCCAAGTTCAAAGTTCCAGGCTCTAGGGGCTGTGTGAAAGCCCCTCAACCTTGGGCTTCAGCTCTGCCTCCTGCTCCTGACCCACTGAAGCTAGAGGCTTTTCTTCACTCAGACAGCGGCTGGCTGCTGAAGCTGAGAAGCCCAAGGTTGACCAGTGAAAAGGCACCATCCCAATGTTACCAAACCACATGGCAGGCCATTAATTCAAATCCATTGAAAGTCCCAAGATTGGCAGAGCATGTAAGGCTGCCGAACAATGACACGGCTACACGCAGGGTTCACGTGTGCCATAAGCTAGAGACCGTTCCCCAAGGCTTCTCCTTATATACTGGAAGCAGACCACAGCCCTAAGGCAGCTATTCAGCTGCTCACAGTAGTTTCCACCATGGAATTGATTACCAGTCTCATCATGGGGAATAGTACATCCAGCTGCCCAGCCACTCAACCAGGCCCAGTCAAGTTGACACACAAACTTAACTACAAGTTCCAAGTATTCAAGACTGCTTTTGACTTCTCTTATGACATGGACCAGGAGCTCTAGTAGCATAGTGCCTAAGTCACTTGACTGCTAACCAGAAGGCTGGCAGTTCAAACCCACCAGTCACTCCTCAGAAGGAAGATTGGGCAATCCACTTATGCAGTGATACTACCCCGGAAACCCAAGGAGAGGTCGCTAAGTGTTGGGTGCAATATGACAGCATATAACAACAACAACATGACATGGACCTTTCTATGATGTGGGTGCTGAAACTAAAGCAAGTGGTAGAAGAAGGATTGATACTATACAGAAACATTTTTAGAGAAACTGGGGGAAAAAAAAAAGTCAAACAGAAATTACAATGTATTTCTGTAAAGTTACACTGAGTTTGCCTGCCTTTCCTGCCTCCCTGTCCACCTCTTCTGCCTCTACCACCTAAGACTGCATGACCAATCCCTCTTCTTCCTTGGGCTATTAAACATGAAGATGAAGATCTTTATGATGATTTACTTATAGACAGTAAATAATCATCATGCCGTATAGTTAATAAACTTACCTATTGTGGGGGTGTGTGTGTGTGTATTTTTGTGTGAAAATCTAATAATGGTTAAGAACTGTGTTAATTTACTATTTATGTTATCAGTAAGGCTTCCAGTCAACAGTAGGCTATTAGTAATTAAGTTTTTGTTGAATCAAAAGGTACACAAGGGCTTTTGACTATGTGGCGTGTTGGCACCCCGAACCCTCTGTTAGAGGTCAAGGGTCAACTGTACTTTGGAATTCATTAAGTGAAACAGAGCAACCAAGGTTCAACAAAATATTTGCAAAAGCAAAGCACGTGGTACTTACCTCCAGATATCACTTCCTTTAGAAAACAAAGAGGACTTGATGACTTCGGGTGCCATCCACGCATATGTGCCTGCAGCACTCATTTTGGTTGTCCTGTGCCACTCCCTTGCAAGCCCGAAATCTGTAATCTTCAGTGTTTTATTGCAGATGTCATCATCATGCTCTATCTTCTCAAGTAGCAAAACTAAAGAAAAAACCAAGGTGGGATTACATTACGCTAACATCCCAATAATATCTCAGTCATGTTTTTCTTTTCTGCATTTAAAACACAACTGTCAGTATAGATGGCACAGTGAATAAGACTGAATTGTCTTTTACAATTTCATTTTATTTAACAAGCATCTATCATAACTTTCAATTTCCTTACATTTAGTGAGTGGATCATTTGTGCCTGAAGTTACAAGCTTTTAAAAAAAAATCCATAGGCATAATCCAGGTTACACAGAAGTGTTTCTGTCATAGGTCATCTTAGAAGTCTGGGAAAATTTACCTGATATGAGAATAATATATTGTTTTCTTCCAAGAAACTTGTTCATGACCTAAGTGTAGAGATTTTTCCACTGAATATATTGAAAATACTACAAACAAATGATACATTACTACAACTCATTGTTACCAAACATCATCTTAAATTTACAAAATGCTTATAGAAATTTTAACACATGAAGATAACATGAGATAACTTTGGTGAACTTTAAAACAGGGGAAAAAAAAATTAGACAAAACATCCAGTCACTGGTTTCGAGAACCCCCTGACAAAGTACAAAAAGTACAAGAGCAACTTTCAGGTGTGGGGCCCCTTGTCAGAGTCATCCTTGAATTCTCATGTAGGCCTTTAGGTAAAATAAATGTGCTTCTCAATATTCCTCACCTACAACTAGCTTCCTTCTCCTCCCTGCCCCTTGTACTTTTTCTCTGCCCTTCTCCAGTAATCTCGAGGTCCTCTCTCTCCTCTGGTTTATTTTACTCTGCTTATAACCACACAGAAATGCTATCTAGATTTCCATGAAGCTCTAATGCATCTACCTCTTCCACATTCCTCCTCATACTTGCTACAAAAACTCTCAAGTGAATGGGTTAAATCTACTGTATTTTTCTAACTTATCTCTCCATTCACTCCTTAAAACATTATAGTCCAATGAACTCCAATTTCTAGCTCTACTACTCTATTTAAATGGAAGCAACACAACAAACAAACCAGTTGCTGACAATTTGATTCTGACTCGTGTGTGTCAAAGCAGAACTGTGCTCCATAGAAATTTCAAAGTTGTGACCTTTTGGAAGTATAGCCAGGGCTTTCTTCCTAGATGCCTCTGGGTGAACTTGAGACTTCAACCTTTGGTCAATAGCTGAGGTCTTAACCATTTGTGCCATCAGGTACTTCACACTTAAACAGAACTTTCTGTGAATACCCTCTTCTCCATTCCTCTGCCCCTACATCACTTCTGGCCCTCATCACCTCACACCTGAATTACAATCGTTCAAACAGGTCTGATGTGGCCACTCTTCCTCTCTAATCTGTTTTATATATCACCACTACATTAATCATCACAGATTAACCTTCCTAAAGCGTGATTTAACTCTTTAAAAAACAAAAACTGTCCATGAACAAACAATCGATATATGCAATGACATGGATGAACTTAAAAAATGCTGCACTACATGAAAAAAACTGCCCATGAACAAACAACTGATATATACAACGACATGGATGAACTTAAAAAATGCTGCACTATGTGAAAGAACCCGGACATAAAAGGCAACATATTTTAACTACATATGACCTTCTGGAAAAGGAACAGAAATCAGATTAATAGATTGCTGATTGCCAGGGGCTGAGGGGAAGGGCTGAGGGCAAAGGGAAATTTTTGGGGTGATGGAAATTCTGTAACTTGATTGAGGTGGTAGTTACAGAACTATATACATTTGTAAAAACATCAAGCTTCAGGGATGAATTTTACTGTATGTAAATTATGTCAATAAATTTGAAAAGAAAAAAAAAAACTTTCCATAGCCCCATGACTCAGGGCTAATACACACACTACTACACTTGGTAGCATAGTGTCTTAAGGCACTTGACTGCTAACCAGAAGGCTGGCAGTTCAAACCCACCAGCCACTCCTCGGAAGGAAGGTTGGGCAATCTACTTCCGCAGTGATACCACCTCAGAAACCCAAGGAGGGGTCACTATGAATCGGGTCTGACTCAACAGCCCATAACAACAACATGCTTGGGTAATCATGAGCCTCTATATTTGCACAGTGACCTACACTTCCAAATTATACCTCATTCCCCAACAGGTGAGCTTCCTCTGCTGAAACCAGACTGGTTTATCATCCAGCTTAAATGTTATCTTCTCAGTGAAACCTTTCAAATCCACTAAATAAAATTATTCCTTCCTCTTGTTGTTGTTGTTGTTGTTAGGTGCCGTCGAGTCGGCCCCGACTCATAGCGACCCCTCCTTGGGTTTCCGAGGCAGTATCACTACGGAAGTAGGATTGCCCAACCTTCCTTCCGAGGAGTGGCTGGTGGGTTTGAACCGCCAGCCGTCTGGTTAGCAGGCAAGTGTCTTAGCCACTATGCTACCAGAGCTCCTATTTCCTTCCTCTAGAGTCATATAAACCTTTTTTATGTTTCCATTACAGCATTTATAAATTATCAAAAAAACAAAACAAAACCCACCTTGAGTCTATTCTAATTCAGTGATCCCCATTGGTTTTCCAAGGTGGCAAACCTTTATGGAAGTAGATTGCCCCATCTTTCTTCCGTGAAACAGCTCGTGGGTTTGAATCCCCAATCTTCTGGTCAGCAGTCAAATGCCTCAGGCACTGTGCCACCAGAGCTCAGTATACTGTAATTATTTGTTTATATCTGACTCCTCCATTAGACAGTTAGCTCTTAGACTGAATAAATGAGTGTATGCAAATGTGTGTATGAGTATGTTAGTCAGCTAATTGGGAGAGAGGAGGAAGATGGGGAGAGATATATTCAATTCACATTCACGTATCTATTCTGTGTCCAGTCTAATTCAGAGTAGGTGCTTAATGTTTATAAAAAAAAAAAAAGGAACAAATCCTGAACAGACTTTGTATATTCTTATATCTATACTTTGCTTATGTCATTCCCACCCAACAGAAATAATAACAAAAAGTGAACAAAAGACATTCTAAAAAGTACTCAGTGTTCACTCTATGCCTTGCACTTTACATGCATTGTTTTATTCTTAGTCTTCATTATAGAGGATAATTAATACTGAAAAAAGAAAGTGACAAAGTGATCCACATGAACAGTAACAAATATTTCAGAGGACTTGAATAGACATTTCTCCAAAGAGATACAAATAAGCACACTAAAAGATGCTCAATGTCATTAGTTATTAAGGAAATGCAACTCAAGACCACAAAGAGTTAATCTCCTCTCCCCCCTCCTTAGCTATTATCAGAAAAATCTTTTCCTTACAACAAATGTTGGTAAGGATGCACAGTAACTGCAACCTTCATCCACTGCTGGAGGGAATGCAAAATGATGAGGCCGCTATGGAAAACAGTTTGGTAGTTCTTCAAAAAGTTAAAAATAAAACTACCATATGACCCAGCAATTCCACTCCTACACCTAAAAGACCTGAACGCAGAGATTGAAAAGATGCTTGCATGCCAATATTCATTGCAGCAGTATTCACAGTAGCCAAAGAGTGGAGACAACTCAAATAACCAACAACAGATGAATAGGTAAATAAAATGTGGTACATATATACAATGGAGTATTACTCTGCCATAAAAAGAAATTAAGTTCTGATGCATGTCACAACATGGCTGAACTTGAAAACACTATGCTGACTGAGATAAGTCAACAACAAATGGACCTACTTATATGAAACATTTAGAACAGGCAAACGCACAAAGATCAAAGTTTACTAGTGGCTACCACAGGCTGGTATGAGAAAGGAATGGGAATTACTAGTTAGGGTTATGTAAAACTTTTGGAAGTGCATAGTGGCGATGATAACACAACATGGTGAAAATAATTAATGCCACTGAACTGTGCACTTAAAATGGCTAAAATGGCAAACTTTCTGTTACACGTATTATATATAACACAATAAAATTAGGGGGAAAGAACAAAATCTTCAGAGTAAATAGATGTGTGTGTGTGGTAGGGGAAGTTCCTAGTAGTGCAAATGGTTAATGGGCTCAGCTGCTAAGTGAACGGTTAGAAGTTCGAGTCCAACCAGACACACCATGGAAGAATGGCCTGGTGATCTATTTCCAAAAATCAGCCATTGGAAACCCCATAGAACACTGTTCTACTGACATACATGGGATCACCATGAGTTGGAATTGACACTGCAACTGTTTTTCATTTGTATGTTTAGAGCATATGTATGAAGAAATTGCTATTCAGGTTTTATTTTGAAAACTATAATTAAAAATCATGAAAATAAGTTTATTTCATGTTTTTGTTTTAACTTTTATTGCAATTTGGTTGAAAGTTTACAGAGCAAGTTAGTTTTCCATTCAACAATTTATACTTATCTTATTTCACGACATTAGCTGCAAGTCCCATAATATAACAGGACTCTTCTCACTTCCTCCCCGTGTTCGCCATTTGTATCTGTCCTTTTATCCTGTCTGTCCCTTTCTACCTTCTAAGCTTTGTCTCTGGACAAACGCTGCCCTTTTTATCTCCCATGGTTGATTGTTCCTAGGAGTGCATATCTCCCTCATATTACCGTTCACTTACTGTCTGGGTCAAAGTTGAACCACTGTGGTAGTGGTTGGGGTGGGGGGGGTAAGTTCAATTTCAGGATTGAAGGGTGACTAAGGGCCATAGTCTCAGGGATTCCACCAGTCTCTATTTAACCAGTAAGCCTGGTCTTTTTTATGATTTTGAGTTTTGTTCCACATTTTTCTCCCACTCTATCCAGGAACTTCTATTTTGATCCCTTTTAGAATGGTCAGTAGTGGTAGCTGGGCACCATATAGTTCTTTTCTCAAGTTTTCTTAAAATATATTTTTATCATAATTGCATCTATGTACTAACTTTAGAAGGAAAAAAAATGAAACAGGTTGGAGGTTTTTATAGAATAAATTATCCAACAAAATTGGACGTGACAGTTTTCATGCTTAATTTTTCCAACAAGATCATAAAAAGAGCTATTTTTTTCAAATGTTAGTAATAAAAATA